TTTTTTTTTTTTTTTTTTTTTTTTTTTTTTTTTGGCGAACCCGTGAAATCCTGGAGCTGAGTATAGAAGTCAGTCAATCGATAAAAATCGATATCGATCAAGTGATTTTACCGATCAATAACGACTTTTTTGATATCGATTTATGACGGAAGTGCAAGTGCAGCATTGTTGCTATTTGAAAGCACTTATTATATAAGTATTTTTTTTTTTCATCGAAGCCACCCGGCAGTTGACGCCAGCGCCGGCCCCTCTTGCTCCTTTTTCCGTTTATTCTATAAGAAACTGAATAGAATCATTCAGCTCTGTATCAAGAATGTACACTATTCCCATCTGACTCATCACGAAGGCTTACAAATCCATGTTTACCTATTTCATGCGCACAATAGAGTCGTTTGAACATTACGTTGACCCTATTCAAGAGGCCATCGACGACTTACTTCTCCCAACACTATTCGGTCAAACGGAGCCCCTCCCTAGTGAACTGCGTCAGCTTGTTACTTTGACACCCGCTCAATGAGGGCTAGGTGTACCTGACTTATGGTTTATGCTGCTTCCACGACAATAACAGCATCGCACATAGATTCTATTACCGCACAGGGCACGTTCAAGGTTGCAGGCGAGAATTCCACAGAGGAGTCAAAAAGACAACATCAAGCTTTGAAAACTGCGTCGGTGAAATCGAGAATGGAAAGTGTTAATTCCACTCTACCCTCGGATCTGCTGCGGTCAGTCAACCAATCGAGAGACAAGGGTGCGAGCTCGTGGCCTACCGCAGTACCCCTTGTTGATCAAGGCTTGGTGCTGAATAAACAAGAATTCAGAGACTCTCTGCGTTTAAGGTATAATGTGCCCCTATCCGATATACCAAGCAAGTGTGTTTGTGGTGAGAAGTATGCCGTCAGCCATGCCCTGTCTTGCAAAAAGGGAGGGTTTGTGGCGCAGGGAAACGATGGCGTTTGCAACCTACTTACCTCATTTCTTGATAAGGTTTGGACCAGCGTTGAAGTAGAACCACAACTATAACCTCTGGATAATGAGCGATTCAACCTCAGATGTGCGGTGACCAGTCCGGAGGCAAGGGGCTTTTGGTCTCGAGGAGTCACAGCATTTTTCGATGTCAGAGTAACGCATGTTAGCTCCAAGTGTAACCAGGGAAAAGCGACATCCACAATCTTTAAGGAGCAGGAGGAGGAGAAAAAGCGGAAGTACCAACAAAGGGTGCTAGACATTGAAACTGGATTTTTCACTCCTCTAGTTTTTAGAACCAACGGCGGGATGAAGCCGATTGTAACTGCTTTCTCAAACTCCTAACCGAGAAGCTCTCAGAAAAGAATGAGGAACATTAGATTACTATTACTTGGATTAGAACATTGCTTTCCGTTGAGATTTTAAGGTCGGTACATACGTGTGAGGGGCTCCGGGGCATCTTTCCACAAAATTCCACAAGGGGATTTCACTGATGACTGCCGCTTAAACGCTAGCCAAGCGCATGTGCGCTAATTTTAGAAAGTGAATAATGGCGAGAACTTGTGAATTAGTGTTTTAGGATCTTTTTAATATTTTTATTTTCATTAAAACTTTAGTATATGAATAGTGTTTTTTTTCTTGTTGTTATTATAAGGTCTCCTAGGAATGCTTCTCTCTTTTACGTGGGCGGTCGATCGCTGTCAAACTTTCGTTTTCGAAAGCATCGGTTCACAACCACCTCTTTCCAAATCCCAACGTAAGGTGATAGCTTACGCAAGCCTTGACAGTACGAGAGGTAATTTCTGACAACTTATTTCCTCTTTACGCAACACCCTCGCCTGCCAACGAGGAAGCTATCATGAATTTTATTTCCTACTCGATGAACGTCTCGTAAGATAATGTTTGTGGCCACTATCACAGGCACAAGTAATGAAAAACTCCCACTTCGCATTGAAATTGCAGGGGCTGGGGTGAGGCGTGGTTAATAGAGGGAGAAGCTTATGTCTACTTTTATTCCAAATAGGGTGCGGTTTGTTAGAGGGTGGAACTTAGCCCTATGACGTACATGCTAATCCTCACCCCTCCCCTCCCCTCCGAGGGGAACAGGAAGGGACTAGAGAACGGCCGCTGACCACTGTGCATGGAACGAAGTAAAGATTATTGATCGAGAAGCTTACTAGTCCATACGTAAGACTTAACTGGATATGAAAGAGTGCCATTTTCACATTACGCAAACGGCCAGAACATGTATTTTGGCTGAGAAGGGGTTAAAAAGGCACGAGAAGCTCTAAAATCGGCCTGCAAGAAGGAGATAAGCCCGGCGAGAGCGCAAACGTCACACAATTTTCGCGCGTGCACAATGCGGAAACGTGGAGCGAGGAAAAGTTCGCATTTCACGTTCCATGTTACGCCTGACGCTATGTCTCGCTCACCCTTTTCAGTTTCAGAAATGTTTGGGTCATTTACCCGCGACACTGTCACCACGTTACATCATGTGTCGTGGTCACGCTCTCGTGTTTATACGTTTTAAGACTCCTTCTCCATACCCCCCCCNTCTCTGAATCAACTATATCAATGTATAAACAATAGCCTCCATTTGGCGCAAAAATGTGCTAGGATAATTGCCCGCGGATATTGTCTTCACCAGACTCCTCCCCGCCGGGTCGCTTTGCTCCTCGCCGCTCGCGCGTGTGGCTCAAAGGTGAGCCTGCTGGTAACCCAGTTCCAAATGTATATAGAGAATTGTGGAGCCTGAGCGGCGCAGAGCGTGAAGCGTGACAGGAGTGCAAAAACTTCCTTGTGCTCCAGGCTCGTATATCACGCTGTCGCTCTGCACCGCTAATACAAGGCTTTTATCGTGTCGTTGATCGTGTTCGCGTCCGTTCGGACAGTACGGGATTGACTACTGAGGTAGGCGAAAATATTTGTACTGAAGATTGTCTTGTTCCTTTGTTCGCCTTCCAAAGCATTTATCTTTGCAGTGATTGGTTAATGTAAAACCCAAGTCTCCCACGGCCAAACGTCAGAAGATTACTTCTAGGCGGGCTGTTTATTTTCATTCTATTCATAACATTATCAAAAACTAATTATTATTAGTTATCGTGTGTACTACACTATTGATCCTTTGACTCGACAAATTCCGTACTGACGACGTAGTCATCACTTAGCAACAACCAACGAGAAACAGTATAGGAACTTCTGTGGGGCTACGTCATCAGCGAGAACTATTCGAAGTGAGCTCGTGAGGAAAGAGTTTTGTCAAACTAGGCGCGGGAGAATAGGGACAAGGCTCGCTCCAAATCCCCTTTGTCTTTAGCCGTGGTGTAGCTCTCCAAATCAATCACGCCTCAAGCCATCATTGAAGCTACTTCTTCAAATGGTCATGGAACCATCGAGCCATATTTATGAACACATCACTCTCTGCTTCCACTTTAGCGATCGGATGGTTGTTATCGGGGTAGGACAATAATCTAAAAATAACAACATTACTTGTTAGCTCTTATATTAACACAGCATAACTGCTAAGCCACCGCGTCACCTGGAAATGGAACGTTCAGCTTATTGTGTATTTTCACTCGCACTCATACCCGGGGGAGGTAAACCCCTTCGATGCCCTTTTACAGACCTGGCTCTTCTAAAATAATGCCCAATTCATAGTTGGCCAAACACACCCAATTCAAGGCCGGATCTAGAGCGCGCAATTATATATATCTTATCTCAATTATATATTATATTCGACAAAACGGCTAAAAAACCATACCCTTTGGCGCCCACATACCTATATAGCCCATATAGGGGAGTACAATTCTCCCCGGACACACGGACTCCGCGCGAGGCGTTCAGCTTCTTGGTTTCGTCACCAAGCTTATGAAATTGTTTGTGTGGCAAATCTAACATTATCATCGGACATAAAATGTACACTTAAGTCACTTAGAATTTCACTAGTAGATGGCGCAAAAAACGACGAGAGACAAAAAAGTAGGAGAGAAATGCGGTGCGCGGGGAAGTGTTTTTTCCCTTCTTACATCCCTCTTCCCCTCCCCCTCCGCTCCCCGTTCCCTTCCCCGACGAAACACCCCTCTTCTTTCCTTAGTTGTTTGTTTGTTTTTGTTTTTTACCTTCTCCGCTTTTCTTGCTCTTCCCATCTAACCGAACGCATAAAACAGACTGACACCGTTCAACTTCAGACAATAGTTTAATCCAAGTCTACCATCACTGTCAAACAGCCTTACCTTGTTTCGGTTCCTTGAGCCTTTAAAGCTTTGTAAAAACTCCTTCCTTGACTTGGAGGAACTCGAAGGTCTTCTTCTCCCAGCATTATCAGCGTTGGTGTCTTAACCTGTGAGATGACGAAATTTCTTATTACAAACGTTTACTGTGACTCAATCTTCTAAGAAAATGTTGCGTGACTCAGTTATGTAACGCTCTGACGGAGTGTTACATGAATTCCCGGGGGAAAATCCCATATTAAAAGGTCGGGGATCCTCGTCGTCTCGCTTAGGCGTGTAAATCACTGATTTTGGTCTCACCCCGACCTTTTCACACGGGGTCCCCCGGGCATGAAATACAGTTGAACCTAGGGGACAGAGGAAAGTGGTCGCAGTAGACAGGTGGCCGTTATGGAGGCGGGGGNGGGGAGGTAGGGGTGTAAAATGACACCTGTGTTATTTTCCCCTTTTCACAGAAAAAGTTCATTAGGAGACTGAGACACACTTTCCTACTGTTAAACAAAGACACCAGCTACCGGAAAAATACCGGGCAAGATAGCTCAAGATGTTTTTTCGAACTACGTACCTTTTTCACGTGGGTGATGGGGGATTTTTCCAGCATTGTGGAGAGCGTTTCTGGAGTCGGTACAATGTCATACTGAAATTCCCCTCCGATTTCGAAGTAACACCTAAAATAAAAAAAAAGGTAGTGGTAAATTAAAGTAAGAAAACGTAGCTATGGCAAATCCAAAGCAAAGTTCACTTCCTAATACGAGTGTATATTTTGTTTCCCGTTAGTTAGCAAGACTTGTAAAGTTGAACCATATAACTGTTATATTTAGTAAATAATTTAAAGAAAACGACAGAACCTTTACGTTTGAAAGGCATTCTTCGACAGAACCTACTGTCATCTTCAGTTGGTTGATGTACAAAGCGTTGGAAGTTGAATTTAAAATAAGTAGAAACATGTCGAGGAAAAGGTTGTTGTTATTCATCGTGGTAGATGCAATAACAAAGTGTATTATCGTTTGTCTCACGATGTAGTCACTTGAGATGTAGATCGCGACGTTTCGACTGCTTACTGCTAGTCTTCTTCAGGCGATAAGGTCGACTGATTGCACTTTATCATTTATATCACAAAGGAAACATGCTAATTGTGATGAATAGTGACAACAAAATGCAGCAAAGCGTGAAAGTGTGAGAATTATAAGGATAGTTTTAAATTTACATAGTGTGTAATTGTTGATTCAAGGAGGGTTGTTCTCTTTGAATATGCATAGCCTCTTTTATCGTCTTTTGGAAACTATTGGAGGTGTGATCCAAAACATGGAAACAATCTGCTGAACAAAGGCGCCACATGCAATGTTCAGAGTTTTAAGTTTCAAGCTTCCCGATAACCACCACTCGAGCAAACCTAAAATCTGTCATAAACCAGTTTAGCTTCTACCGTGTTCACAAAAGAGCAGATTATCTCTAGGTTCACTCTAGGACTGAAGTCATGTTAAGTTGAAGTGTAGCGCTTTGCACAAATCATGATCAACAAGACGTTAAATCCGAGCATGGTTGAAACGATTCCACGAAGTAGTTTCTATTAACAACATGTTCAATCCGAATATGGTTGAAACGATTCCACGATGTAGTTTCGATTAACAAGATGTTAAATCCCAGCATGGTTGAAACAATTCCACGAAGTAGTTTCGATTAACAAGATGTTAAATCCGAGTATGATTGAAACGATTCCACGAAGTAGTTTCGATCCGAGCTAGACGGCTGCTTTAATCGTAATGGCCTGGCGGAAAAGAAGCCAATGCCTAGAAGACTCGACATGTAATATGAATAGAACCAAGCTACAATCATAGCCAAAAACTCTTGGGACATATTTGCACTTTTATTGCTTTTGCTTTTTTGCAAAGTCACTTAAGAGCCTGTCGACAGTGATGCGCTGACCATCGCCTCTCCGAGACGAGGATGCCATATTATTATTATATTATTACCTTTGCACACACGCCAGGCGCGAATACAACTTCACCTGCCTAGCCTCTCCTTCCACCCCACATACAATGTTGAAAACTAGTACCTGCAATAGCAGATTTTCATGTTGTCGCCATTTGACTACGACTATCAGAATTCCTGTGGTTTTTCTTTGTTATTTAAATTTTGAATTCCCATTGGGTTTTAAATAACAATTGCCCTAATTAACATAAGAAATAGAAAAAGTGAAGGATTACGGTAGTTGTAGTCAAATGACGCTATCATGCAGGTCACCTATTTCTTCTGATTTTCAACATTGTATTGGGTGGGGAGGGGACGGGGGCGGGGGGACAGCAACGCGTCGTGTAATGGATAGTAGTGCTTTTTCAAACTTTAGTAGTAAAATACAAATAATTAGTTGCATTACATAAGTGTCCCAGGGACTTTTGTTCACGATTGTCGGTCCGTATGAAGCAGTTCTCACCGTTGATATGATCACATCATAGATACCATTCATACAGACCCCAACAACAACAATAACAACAAAAAAAACAACAACAACAACAACAACAACAACAAGTAAATTCATCTTACCAATCTAGAATATCTGATATGCCTGTCATATCTATAAATCGAGAAAAGAGACGTATGATTTTTTTTAAAAAAAGAAATACCTCTTACTAATCGTGTTCGAGGTCCGTACTGTAAGTTACGGACCGAGTTTTTTCCCCTTCGATTTATGGCCCAAGCGCGAAGCGCGCGGGTCATAAATCGAAGGGGYYAAACGAGGATCCGTAACTTACAGTACGGACCGAGAAGACGAGGTTAGTAAGATATTTATTATATCTCTACTGTGTGCCTGACGGGTTTGGAAACGATTTCTATTCACGCGGACTCGGAAAGCCTTCAAATTTCTGACGCACTTCGAAAGCAAAACGAGTCAGTTTGAAATTGTTTTGAAGTCGTTAGCACGCTTTATTACATAATTTAGAGCAAAAAAGTCAAGAGCACTTAGCGATAAATCACGAAACGGTTTGGCAACAAAACCAACTTTAAATTTTAGCGGGCCGTACAGGAGAGTACGGCCCGCTAAATTGACCAATCACAGCGCACGTACTAACTGAGAGATATAGTAAAGAGAATTATGCAACGGAACTATTAACAACGTATTCACGTTCAAAGGGAATTTTCGAGGCTCTGTTTAAGTAACATCTAAACGCGCAATTTAAAAGAGTTGAGGTAACAGTTTGTCAATAGTTGAAAAATTACCCAACAATTTTTTTTTTCGAATTTTAAAATCGTTTACAGTGCGCTCGTCTGCGGATCGAGCGATCCGGGTTCGGGCCCTAGCCGGGGACATTGTGTTGTGTTCTTAGGCAAGACACTTTACTCTCACAATGCCTTTCTTCACCCAGGTGTATATAAATGGGTACCGGGAAACTTAATGCTGGGGGTAACCATGAGATGGACTTGCATCCCATCCAGGGGGGAGTAGAAATACTCCAAGTCCCCTTATGCTACAGAAACCGGGATAAGCACCGGCCTAATGGCCCACTTGTATGCGGACTTTACCTTTTTTTTTTTTTTTTTTTAATAATNCCTGTAGGACAGGCGGATTACGGGGTAGAGCGCGAAGCGCAAGACATCTTGAGACCTAAACCATCCCAATGTGCACTATGCACTGGCTTGTGACTGTATCTTGGCCTGGGTTGAGCTGCTTTTTTTTTTTTTTTTTTTTTACCAATAATCGACCCTTGTTTCCTTTTAGTTTACTTTAATTTGTTTTGTGCCTTCCCTTACAAGGTGGCTATCATTCTCATTCTGATATTTCGTCCAATTACAAAAACAAACAAGCAAACAAAAGATAAAAAATAAAAAATAAAAAAAATTAACAATCAAACAAAAACAAAAGACAGTATAATTCACAAACCACAACTGTGAAAACAACCTCTCTAGGAAATAAACAAAGAAGAAAGTTACATAGCTTGGAGGTCCAAAACAACAACAACGACAACACTTTAACAGCAACAAAGAGCTTGAAGAATCTTACTAACCTGCTACGTTCACTACAGGATTGCGCATGGCGGCTGCTCTGAAGAAGTCCTGATATACAGTGGACAAAATGCAACATAAGAAAGCAGTTCACAGGAACATCAGTCAAAATATTCTAGGTCCGCAATACGTACATGTATGCACTTCAGCGGGAGTAAGCCGTAGTCAGAAATGTCTCGTAGAGAAAACAACAACAACAAAATCAAATAGAAATAAACAACAACTCCAAACAAATGCTTTTTAAGAAATATAGTCGTCTTACCGGATACTGGCCAATAAGGTGTGCGGTCAGAAATCCCCCGTGGGATCCACCCATGATAAAAACGTTTGAACTATCCAACTTCCCGCTTTCCAGAGCCTTGGTAGCCGCGCGCTGAAAACAGACAAACAAACAAGATTTAGTTGTTTGAAAGTCACGACACTGTGCGCACAATTACAATTGAAATGATCGGTAAAATATTCCAACAGACCATAACATCCTGCACATCCTGGGTTCCGATGTTTCCAGGGAGGGAGTGAAGGGATGTTTGGCCAAATCCCAAGGATCCCCTGTAGTTTACTGAAAGTAAAACAAAGGTTATAACTTGTTTAATTGTACACTTCATATCGGTACTCTTGCTGTACGGTTAACCCTTGCAACATTCTTTGAAGGTAGCTACATGTTAAGAGATGTGGCGAGGAGGAGGGCAACCGCTTGCTATACTGAGCACTCAACGGGTTATTGCGTAGAGTACTGGAGCTACAAACTTGAGACATGTATTGACTACAGGGGTTACAGTTCAGGGGGACTGCAAAAGGAGGGGGCAGGGAAGGGACTATAATCGTCAGTAAGAAGAAACGAAGGATTACGTACAAGGAATTATGCCTTACCATTGAGAATTGAAAAACCAAGTTTACAAAGGCAGGCACTGTAGAGAGCGAATTCTGACGTAAAGGCCACGTGAGGACCTCCATGCGGAAAAACTATCAATGGCGCCTTGGTGTCCTCTTTCAGGATAGGCTTCATCAAAACGGCTTCATATTCATCTTTGAAATCTGTAGGGTCGGCAAAAAAAAAAAACAAATTCATAACCAGGACAATGTGACGCAAGGTTATTCATCACGAAAACAACTGCTTCACGCAATGCGCTGAATCACGCGAGGAGCTGAGTACCAAACAGTGACGGCAACCGCAACGAAAAAGTACCTAAAGAGAAAGTTTATTGAGTATTAAAAAGGCTCAGCACGTGCGTTATAAAGGTTGATAGTTTCCTGCGTGACTCCTCGGTGAAACACAAACTATCCTCTTTAGCCGCCCTCGCCTTTCGCGCGGCGTAATGCAAGGGGTGGCTTACACGAGGCTCTACGTCACAAGGAATGGGCTCTATCACGCAACTGCGTTACGCGCCGAAGTGCTACATCTCGCAAGGCGCTGTGACACCCGACCCGCTAGACGCGTAAATATTAGTATTGACACAGTGTGTCTACTCGTTAACAACATAAACAAATTACTTTCCTACCAAAGTATAAAATCAGGGTGTTTCCCCTTGTTGGTAAGGCTATTTCCTCTGCTAAAACATTTGGTGTAGAAAAACATGAAGAGTTTTATTGCATTTTAAATGTTTCTCTTTTCTTCCATAAGACTGGCACCTAATTCTCGATATGGGAGGAAAAATAAATTCTTTCTCTATGAAACTACGAATCTAAACGAAGCTAGAAGGACTAATTACCCGCATCGCTGCTGGGTGCAATTGACATCACCTCCCATGTAATTTCCTCCTCAAATTTCTGACCTTCAGATTGAGCTACAAGAAGAGAATGAAATATAATCACATTACTTTGATCATTTCTAGTCTACGAGTGATAATGGTATTTCAGCGACGAAACTGAAACGATAAGCATGAGAGATCATAAGAGAAATAGTTACCACGACAAGTGGGCATATAGTAACTACATACTTAGGAAAATGGACACCATATTCGCCGTCATCCTGTAGAATTATATGCCATTGTTTGTCTGTTTGTTATATTTGACTCGCCCCAGGTTTCTTCTCGCCTCTAGAGTAGCGAACGGACAACAATGTCCACTTAACAACCAAGCAGTAGTAATACATAGATTTAGCCAGTAGATGGTCTTTGTCGCACATGCATGGAAACAATCGCACGTCTGCTTGAGAAAGGTAGCCAATTCTTTTGTTCTTGCGTCGGAAAACGGACGCAGGTTGGAAGTTAAACACGGTGTACACAAAGGCAAGACTTAAAAGACGTCTCCCTAGAAGTGTTGTTTTAAAGTTAACTGCTGATCAAGTACTGGTTTTCGATTGGATCGCAGGCTCAAACCAGGTTAATTTATTTTAGTCAGAANAAACAGATATTCCAAAAAGGGAAACGCCATTCTTCTTTACTTTGAAAAGCCTTTCAAATAAGCAGCAATTATTTTTTACTTCATAGGCACTTTAAAAAGCGGATCTTCTGACTAAAATAAATTAACCTGGTTTGAGCCTGCGATCCAATCGAAAACCAGTACTTGATCAGCAGTTAACTTTAAAACAACACTTCTAGGGAGACGTCTTTTAAGTCTTGCCTTTGTGTACACCGTGTTTAACTTCCAACCTGCGTCCGTTTTCCGACGCAAGAACAAAAGAATTGGCTACCTTTCTCAAGCAGACGTGCGATTGTTTCCATGCATGTGCGACAAAGACCATCTACTGAACTTCTATGAGACTGTCTACTCTTTTCTCTAATAGCAACTGTATTGAACAAATAAACTCAGAAATGTTTACAGTACCTACTTGCATCCAGGACAGGCCAGTTTCTGGGATGACAGCTGGTAAGGCTGCTATCATCTGAAAGAAAACCAAAGCCACTTCGTCAAAATTGCAGTTTCTCTCTCTGCACTGAAAATACTGTACGCTAATGCTTCTTTGAACTTCTTTGAATTCTCAGCTAAACAACAACTGCGTCTCTATTTGTGCACACGCCGCAATTCGGCCCGCTAGAGTTTCTAATCAGAAAAATTCCATGCTCGAACAGAGGTCCACGAGTGTCTCTGATAAGTCGATACTTGTGCGCGAGAAATTGTATCCAAGTAACAACCAATCAGAGACACTAGCATCGCTGCGTCATCAAGGTAAGATGTTCGGCCCAAAACTCACTTGTTTGGAATGTAGTAACTACTTTTCTCTCAAGCCAGCTTGTCGCAAATGTAACGTAAAAGAATCGAAAGCACGAGATCGGTAACTTACCAGTTTAGGAGGGGAGTTTGGTGAAGCGTATGAGGCCAAGATGATATCATGGTGTATATCAAGAACAGTCCATGATCCGGGAACTAATAAAAAAAAAAAGAAAGTTGAATACGAGTCAAGCAAAGTCGAAGAGACTTCGACTCCAAAATTATAGCAATAATACTTTAAATCTTAATGAAAATTGAGTTGTTCTGTTCGATCAATCGGATGGTAAGTACCTTTTCGTATAAAGGCACTATGCAAGACACACAAAATAGATATTTGTTTAATGTTTAACTTCTGAAGAATCCTCCCCCTTCCCTAAAAAACCGGAACCCAGAAATACCCAAGACTACGGTACAAAGGTGAAGGGAAAACATATAACTCAAAGACCTGAGAGGCGAAGACTGCTCCGCTATTTTTTTTTTTTTATTAAAGCTCGGCATTTTGTAACTCACCAGTAGTCAAATCTGTCACCGACTTGTCCTTGCAATTAATGAGAATGATTTTCTGAAAGTAAAACAGCATGATTATCCGGCAACTGTAACTGCTTTATTTGGTAGGTTTGAACTGATGCTAACTTACCCGACACAAATTCAAACGAAAGCTCTTGAAGTTTATAACCTTTTTACTTAAAATCCTACTTTAAACGCAATTTACTGTAAAGAGCGAAGCTTGATATATAAAAGGCCATTTTCTGGCAAATTTAAGATTGAGGAATAATGAAACAGATTGTAAACAGTAACTAGCACCGCACCAAGCAGTAGAGCTCTCTGGTGTTATGTTAACATAGAACATTTCTGGTTGGTATCAGGAACGTCGGAGGAAAAAAATGAGCCCGCAGTTTCCAGCAGTCGTGTAGCTAAGTCGCATTAAGTGCCAATAGTGACGAGCCACCCTCACAAGTCTTCGGAGTGCTCGCCAATCGATGATTGGACGTAAATCATCGGAAACTACTCGGATTCTCCAGGAATGGTTGTTTCTCCTGCTGACTGCAAAGATCTAACGTCGAGAAACCTCAAAGGCTTGATAACGGAAGCATCCACTTTAGTTATTCTTGATTAGGTTACTGTAGCCTGAGAAATTTAATCAACAGTTATTCAAGGTCGTCGTTCACAATCTGTCTCCGTGTTTCGAAATTGTGGTTTTTTAATAATTTGAGGTTTGTCTCGATTAAAAGGCAACCTTGCACGTTGCAGAAATCAACAGACTTTAGCCAAGTTGAGAAACGAAACGTAACTAGACGGCATAGAACTATGAATGAATCGAAAGTATTTTACATAATAATATGAAAACATTACTCGATTCTGATTGGCTGAGAGCAGTGCAGTTCAAGTGTAACACCAGTGCAAAAAGTGTGACAACAGTGTAAAAAGTGTAGCAGCAGTGCAAATTACACATCGTAGTTCTAGATTGTAATTGGCTGAAAGAAAATGGGAAATTTTCTAAGCCAATGATATCACATAAAATGATGACGAAAATTTAGTGCGGAAACTTTGAAAAAAGTTTTCACGAATGAGAAAAAATGGCTTCAAGAAAGATCTTCTGGCATTTCAGTCCTCCACGCGAATTTTTTCATGTTTATATTACTAATAAGTAATCATACGGTTTTTCTCGGTCAATAGCTTTTTGAAAAACCCACTCGTGCAAATTAATTCCAAATTGAACTCGAAACCGTATGATTACCTATACTAACAAACACCAACCTTGTAACTTCTCCATGCAGTACTGAGGATGACCCTATTCCCATCCGCCGACCAACAACGGTCCGTGAGAAGAACGTTGTAAATACCAGGAAATCCGCCTTCTAAAAACAGAGATTCCTTTGAACACTGAAAATGTTCTTTGACGACACGGAGAACTAACCCAATTAAAAGCTATCCAAGCGTCAATCAGCACAGCAGTAAGAATTTTAATTAACCAATCAGAGGGAACAAAGCAAAGAGTGTAGCAGTTAAGCGCGGAAAAAGTTCAGTCAGTCTAGTCTTTGCTTGTACCTGATTGGTTGATAACAAATCATCCCTGCCCTGATTGGTTAAAGTATTTTGCAAGCGGCAACAGATAATGACGCGCAGAAAATGCTCTTCGGCTAATGATCTTTGAACTCACTGGCAGCGAAAAAAACAAAATATTCAAAGCTATAATAATAAGCTCACTTTCTGGAATGTCCACAACATCTGTGATGATGGAGGTTGCCTTCGTTGTCCAGTCATACTGCAATGAAAGAGATTAACAATCTAGTTAGCAAGTAGGAGAAAAATTGTCGAATAATTGCGGGGGAGGGGG